CTCCATTAACGAGCCCCACTCTCACCATTAACGGGCTCCACTCTCACCATTAACGAGCCCCACTCTCACCATTAACGGGCCCCACTCTCACCATTAACATGGTGAGTCCAGTTTAAGTTTTTTCCCCCGTCAGGGTCGTTCGTGATGCACTCCAACACCGCCGATTGACCCACCGCCACCGTCTCCGTGTTGGCCACCGGCAGCAGCTTGAACTCGTGACCCACTTTTGGTGAATGTGGGTCAAGGAGGGAAGTCGTTCCCTCCTTCTGAGGGAAGCTGGTCGCCATCAGCGAAGTTTTTGCAGGTGTGAAGAAACTGATGTTTTCTTTTGGGTTGTTTTCGTTGTCGTCATTTTCGTAAGTTTCAGGGGTAAATGGTTGATTGACAATAGATCCTGGAGTGGCAACCATAATTTGGTTGCCATTGCGGTTGTGTTCATTGGCTTCTGGTGTGGTTTCTCGGACAAAATCACCGTTAGTATCCGCGGTGAAGTTCGCAGCTCTCACGGACTGGTTATGTCTGGAAAGCGGCGTTAGTTCTCCAAAAGTCCCAATGTTGTTATTGTTGTTATCTGATAACAGGGCGTTGTTCTCCCCGAGTTCGTGACGTCGGTGGGTGTTATAAGCGTTGTCGAGTAACGAATCCCCGAGGGGAAGCTCGTTCCTGGACCGCGTTGGTGACGTCACGACGTGCAAGTAACCCGAGGGGCTCCTCGAGGTGACGTTGGTGACGTTGTTATGGCCCGTACACCTTCAGATATTGAATGAAAAAATGAAATAAGTATAAATTTGTATTAATACAGAAATTTTTGGGTGATATTGAAGCTTTCAGACACGAGATCTCTTATTAATTAAAGCAAATAACTATAAAGTTAGTAAAATGTTACGCGTTGGGCGGTTCCACAGCGGCGGGAGCCTACGTAGACCGAGGTTAGATTGAACGAAAATTTTAGCCATCGGTAGAATCTACCTTCCCTCATATCGCATTTCCCTCAGAGGGCATAACATCGCATTTCCCTAAGAGGGCATAACATCGCATTTCCCTTAGAGGACATAACATCGCATTTCCCTCAGAGGACATAACATCGCATTTCCCTCAGAGGACATAACATCGCATTTCCCTCAGAGGACATAACATCGCTCATTTCCCTCAGAGGACATAACATTGCATTTCCCTCAGAGGGCATAACATCGCATTCCCCTCACAAGGCACAATATCGCACTTCTGCTAGAGGGCATAATACCGCATTTCTCAAAGGAACATAATTTCGCATGTTAATGTTTGGACTGATTTTAGGTCTAATTTATTTGCGCGACTAAAATACCACAGGGACAAATGCGGCGACGTCTGATCAATTTTTCCTGCTGCGACAAAATTTCATATTCAAATCAAGTGCCAAATTTAACGCTTAAACTGGGAAAACCGGCGCCCGCGTCGTGAAGTACTAATGTAAAGAACGAGACGATCATGATTGACTCTAGGACTAGCCGACATGTCTCGCTCTAGGACAAAATGTGCATCGCTATCTGAAGAAAAAGTTCTATTCATTTCTCTATAGCGTTTGAAGTGATGAATTTTGATTTGCAGTGACAATTTTTTAGACTTCTTCAACGTCGCCATCGGTCCTCTTTGTCTCCCATCTTTAGTGCGACGTAACATTTTGTGCGGTTGACGGCCCACATATTGATTTCGTTTAAAGAAAGTGAAACGATCACTGAAAAATATAAAGTTTTTGCGATGGGACGACCTCCTCGATGTCGTAACGCTTCAGAAATTCTTGTGACTTTTGTGGGCGACGAGTTTCTTCCGAATTCTTGCACGACGAATATTCTCTATTCGGCTCCTAATATCCTCAATGGTCGATATTTCCAAAACTAACATCAGACTTGGAAACGAACTGACTCTCACCAAAAAATTATGCATCATACATACCCTCAAATGGCCCATTTATGCGCTAAATTATAGGCAGGAGAGTTTCATTGTAAAAGAAATGTATTTGGAGCTCTCAGTGGCGAATGCCGCAGGTAACAGCCCTTGACCTCTCTCAAGACTTGTACTGAACCGCTCCACATTGAACCGTACTTTGAAGATGCGCATTGAAACGTACCTTGAAGATGCGCATTATACCGTACTCTAAGCGCACGGAACTTGACACTTTATGCACGCACAGAAGCAAACTCGCAAGACGCGCATTGAACCGGACTCGTAAGACGCGCACTGAACAGGACTCTATAGGCACGCACTGAACTAAACTCTTAAGCCGCGCATTGAACCGGACTGTTAAGACGCGCACTGAACAGGACTCTATAGGCACGCACTGAACTAAACTCTTAAGACGCGCACTGAACAGGACTCTATAGACGCGCACTGAACTAAACTCTTAAGCCGCGCACTGAACCGGACTCTTAAGCCGCGCACTGAACCGGACTCTTAAGACTCACCAGTAGCTGCCAGCGTCCGCAAGTTGTACGGCGTGTATCTGCAGCACGCCGGGCTTGGGCCAGAAGTACCTGTCGATACGCGATAATTATCGCAATAAATATTTACACTGTCACCTTCAATGTCGTCAAATATCGGTACAAAAAATAACAACAAGTAATCTACCATCAATCTTCTGTAGAGCAAAACCAACCAATCATTTTTAGATCAATCGGTCATCAAAGTTATATGCCATAACACCAATTCCTGGTAGAACGGTGCCACCACTCACCTGGTACTAGATACCATCTCCTTGTCGTCCCGGTACCTACCATTCGCCTGGTATTAGGTACCAGCTCCTTGCCGTCCCGGTACCACCACTCACCTGGTATTAGGTACCAGCTCCTTGCCGTCCCGGTACTACCACTCACCTAGGATTAGGTACCAGCTCCTTGCCGTCCCGGTACCACCACTCACCTGGTATTAGGTACCAGCTCCTTGCCGTCCCGGTACCACCACTCACCTGGTATTAGGTACCAGCTCCTTGCCGTCCCGGTACCACCACTCACCTAGGATTAGGTACCAGTTCCTTGCCGTCCCGGTACCACCACTCACCTGGTATTAGGTACCAGCTCCTTGCCGTCCCGGTACCACCTGAGGACGGCTGGTGGGGTGGACGCCAGGTGGCAGGACAGGCGGACGCCGCCGCCCTCAGGCACGCTGGGCGCCGCGGGCTCCGGCTTCAGCACCCACTTGCCCACTCCTGGAATAGTGGTAACTAGTTACTGGCTGGTAAAATGTGACTAGTTACAAAGAAATTTGGATTAGTTTTAAACTAGCTGGGTCCAGTTACAGGCTACCTAGGATTTAATAAAATACATTTAGAATTCGTAACACGCAAACTATAACTAAGTACAAGCTGACAAACTGAAACTAGTAACAGGCTGGTAAATTGAAACTAGTTGCACGCTGGCAAAATGGAACATAGGAAACGGGAGGTCATTGCTAGGAAACAGTGTCTAGTTTCTAGCAGAGAAGCTGTAACTGCTTACGAGAAAAATAACTAGAGAAAGAGAAATAACTAGAGAACTACTGCTGTAACTAGAGAAAGGGAAACAGCAATTAGTTATGAATAAACTGTAAGTAATTATGAATAAATTGTAACTAATTACGCTAAAGCAGTTACAGGGAAACAATAACTAGTTACACACAGGAAAATTGTAACTAGTTATGCGGCACCTGTAAAATGTCAAGGCAAAATTTCAACTAGTTACGCGGAAATTGTAAATAACTGAAAGAAAATTACAAGTAGTTGTAACTAATTGTAATTAAAAATTGTAACTAGTCGCAACTAATTGTAATTGAAAATTGTAAATCATTGTAATTACTGAAAAGATGACAAAGGTACATTTAGCGAATTTTCTCCAAAGAAAAATTACCAGAAACGTTTTCATCGAAAATTCCGGTTAAATTTTTTCGTAAATTCAGTTAGCTTAAGCCCAGGTATAAATTTCTGTTATTTGGCTCATTTGAAAATAAAATTTTATTTTAAAGCGTGGAAAAAGGAATAAGTTTAAGGTCTTTATTTTTTTGGGGGGTGTCCAGAAATTGGATATTGAATTTTCAGGGGCAATTGTTGGAAAAAAATAATTTATTCTCTCATTTTTCGTTAAAAATCGATTGAGGACAGAATAAAAATTAATCATTATACGTCACTATATACATATATATATTAGTGTAGTTAGGCAGAAGTTCTTCATTTATACAGGTTTGGTTGAAGACCAGAGCGTACTTTTTATTTACGATTTTCTTATTGTTCTTTTCGATAAGCCGAACAAAATTTCTAGCTGGAGCTTGGAGATCAAAAAGTAGATTACCGAATGACATTTTATTGCAGTGCGACGTTTCGAATATATCAATATTCATTATCAAGCAAGTGAACAGTTATTNTGCTCAGGATAGCCACGGTCTGCGTAAACGATTCCTTTGTTCTGAATATTTAAATGCTTTACGATCACCGTATCCTACGATGAATCCTAGCATGACACTCAATCAAATGAGTCGGACTTTGTACAATTTGTAATGCAATTTTTGCCTTGGTTGAGTCGCCCTAGCGTAGTTTGGCCTGATACAAGGACGTATTAATGCCACAACCAGTGATGCCACGGCCAGCGATGCCACAACCAGTGATGCCCACACCAGTGATGTCACAATCAGTGATGCCACAACCAGTGATGCCACAACCAGTGATGCCACAACCAGCGATGCCACAACCAGTGCTTCTGGTAACAAAATTTAGAGTCGCCCCAGCTCCTGGTAATACAAATCAGAAGCTGACGCGTCTATAAATTTCCACTGGGGACGCACCGGCGATGCGGTAGAAAACCCTGTAGGCGATGCCTTGCCCCGCAGCGGGTGACGTCTGCGTCGTGCGCGCGTCGTCCGTCCAGCTGAGGTGGACGCTGGTGGACGTGACGTCGTCGACGAAGAGACGTGAGGGCGGCAACAGAGGGTCGGGCGACGTGCACACGTCAACAAACCCCACGGCATCCACCTCACCCAGCATCGTCGTGAAGAAGCATTGGTAGACCCCCTGTGTGGGTGAGGGGTGTTAGACGTGGTGAAGATAACCTGGTAGATCTCCTGTGTAGAAGGGGTGAAGGGTGTTAGACGTGGTGAAGATAACCTGGTAGATCTCCTGTGTAGAAGGGGTGAGTGGTGTTAGACGTGGTGAAGATAACCTGGTAGATCTCCTGTGTAGAAGGGGTGAGGGGTGTTAGACGTGGTGAAGATAACCTGGTAGATCTCCTGTGTAGAAGGGGTGAGTGGTGTTAGACGTGGTGAAGATAACCTGGTAGATCTCCTGTGTAGAAGGGGTGAGGGGTGTTAGACGTGGTGAAAATAACCTGGTAGATCTCCTGTGTAGAAGGAGTGAGTGGTGGTGTTAGACGTGGTGAAGATAACCTGGTAGATCTCCTGTGTAGAAGGGGTGAGGGGTGTTAGACGTGGTGAAGATAACCTGGTAGATCTCCTGTGTAGAAGGGGTGAGTGGTGGTGTTAGACGTGGTGAAGATAACCTGGTAGATCTCCTGTGTAGAAGGGGTGAGTGGTGGTGTTAGACGTGGTGAAGATAACCTGGTAGATCTCCTGTGTAGAAGGGGTGAGGGGTGTTAGACGTGGTGAAGATAACCTGGTAGATCTCCTGTGTAGAAGG